ATAAACAAATTATGGTCACAACCTGATGGCAAAGTTAATGAGATGCAGGCAGAAATGCTGAACAAAAATTAAGCATCAAAAATAAAATAAAATAAAATAAAATAAAAAAACAATGAGAAAACTCCACTGGTTGAAAGACTACTCTACATTCTGATGTCGAGTTTGAAAACATATAAAAAGAGTTAAAGATTTAAAAGTTCTAAACAGCTCAAAAGTTAGTGGCATTAGGGTTGGGCGATATTGACAAAAAAGTTAGTATTTATCCGATAACAATTAATATGACGATTAATCCCCTGGAGTCCCTAGACCCCTGCATATCCTTGTCACGTGACCAATTTAAATCACTCTAGTGGGAAAGATTTGCTCTCAGCAAAAATCTGTTCCAATTTGTGTCAAAAGTAATTCAGGCTAAACATTAATTTTTTAATTGTGTTGATAGACCAAGTAAAACCGGAGTTATGATAAAAAAAAAACAACAGAACTTTTTAAAGAAATGTTTGTCATATTTGAAGTGGAGAGGAGCAATGAGCAGTCAGTCTGCCTGGCAACAATAATCATTTTAATTGTAGAGTGCCAAAAAATAATCAATTAAATTTTTTCTGACGATTAATTGCCCACGATACGATTTTGCCCAGCCCTACAGGGCATGTACTATCAGATCAACTTTGAATGTTTTTACTGTGAAGTCAGTCTGAAGTACGGAGCTCCAAACAGGAAGAGTTCTTACATTTCTACAAAATCTCATTAATGATTTTTCTATCTTACAGATTTTTGTAAACTTTGTCTACAATGTAGATATGCTGCTACCAAAATGAACTCATGTATAATATGACCTCATGTATAATATGACCTCATGTATAATATGATCTCATGTATAATATGATCTCATGTATAATATGACCTCATGTATAATATGATCTCATGTGTATGATCTCATGTGTAATATGATCTCATGTATAATATGATCTCATGTATAATATGACCTCATGTATAATACGATCTCATGTATAATACGATCTCATGTATAATATGACCTCATGTATAATATGACCTCATGTATAATATGATCTCATGTATAATATGATCTCATGTATAATAAGACCTCATGTATAATATGATCTCATGTACTGTATAATATGACCTCATGTATAATATGATCTCATGTATAATATGATCTCATGTATAAAATGATCTCATGTACAATATGACCTCATGTATAATATGACCTCATGTATAATATGATCTCATGTATAAAATGATCTCATGTACAATATGACCTCATGTATAATATGACCTCATGTATAATATGATCTCATGTATAAAATGATCTCATGTATAAAACGACTTCATGTATAATACGATTTCATGTATAATACAACCTCATGTATAATAGGATCTCATGTACAATACGATCTCATGTATAATACGACCTCATGTATAATACGATCTCATGTATAATATGACCTCATGTATAATATGACCTCATGTATAATATGACCTCATGTATAATATGACCTCATGTACTGTATAATATGACCTCATGTATAATATGACCTCATGTATAATATGAACTCATGTACTGTATAATATGACCTCATGTATAATATGACCTCATGTATAATATGACCTCATGTATAATATGAACTCATGTATAATATGATCTCATGTATAATAAGATCTCATGTATAATAAGATCTCATGTATAATATGACCTCACGTATAATATGACCTCATGTACTGTATAATATGACCTCATGTATAATATGATCTCATGTATAATAAGATCTCATGTATAATATGACCTCATGTACTGTATAATATGACCTCATGTATAATATGACCTCATGTATAATATGAACTCATGTACTGTATAATAT